CATTGGACAAAACTGTTAAAATGACCAGATTGCCCCTAAATGTTGTTTAATGTTATTTTGCATCAGTAATGATCGTAAATGACACAAATCAACCAAAATGTATTTAAATAATTACACGTATGATATTTATACTATTTTCTAAATTTATATACATGTAACACAACAATTGTAAAAAATATACATAATTTAAAAATATACCAACACATATCTTGAAAGATTACACAGATTGAAGCTCATATATGAAGAAACCAGCCATGGCCCATGGGCACCAATCGAAAACCAAACATCGATCCTCAAAGATAGAACTTATAACTACAAAAAGAAAACACGGGGAAAACAGGGTGAGAAAGATTGAAGCAATTGATGAAACCGTACCTATCAATCGAAGCAATCGATTGAAGAATATAGGCGGAAGAGATGATGGAAGACATGGCGAGAAGATTGAAGCAACAGATTGAAATCAGGGTGAGAAAAATTGAAGCAATCGATGAAACCGTACCTCTTTGCACAAATTTGAGTGTCTGTTCGTTTTCATGAATCAGATCGACTAAACAATCTAATAATCGCAATCAATCATCGATATCCCCAAATTTCACATAGTTCTTCCATAATTCAATTGAAAATTTTGAAATTATTTACGTAAAAACAAGGATTTCAGAGAAAATTATGGATAGCGGCCCTCTATTCTACAAGGAGGGTTACCAACGACGAAACCTAAAACTGAGAAAAAACGTTGTAGATCATCATCGGCATCATCAAAAAATTCTTCTAGACCTTTGAGAGGGTATAGAAGTAATTTTGTAGTTTGTCCCATGTTGTTCCACCTTTTTTGGTGGAACAAAACATCTCAAGATTTGTCCCACTAAAATTAAAAATAGTCCCACCTTGTCCAATGTTTTTTTTGTCCATAACATGCCAAACATGAGACTATTTTTTTTTTCCCCATCCCGTCCCATGTAGTCTGCATACCAAACGCACCCTAAAAGATTAATGAATTCTCTATCTCATAATTAAGAGTAGAGTTTAAAAGTAGACATTATTTTTTTAAAATGAGCATTTACTTTTGGACAAACTAAAATAGAATCGGGAACACTTATTTTGGGACATAGAGAGTATTTGTTTTTGTTATTTGTAGCCATCATTCGTCTTATAACAATGAATTATTCTCTATAGTAATTTATATGTTAATATCTTTTCATATTATTTATAGACTAAGTTTCTATTTACTATATTTTTTGTAGATATAATTAGTTACTCTACGATTTAGATGTACACTTATTTATCTATACTATATTATAATGCATTTGGCTAAAACTCTTAAAAACTCTTAAACTCTTAAAACTCTTAAACCCGTTCATCCCTATCCGATTTCATCCCATAATTGAATTCGTGTAACTAACTGCAGATAAACACAATCAAATACAGGATAAACAT